AAATAAATTTATTAAAAACATATAAAATTTCACTCTATTACAATTATATATAAACATTAAAAACATGTTGATAAAACATTGTATAATAAAAGCACTAAGTCTTTTAAAAACAATTTATCCCCGAGTACCCAAACTCAGTCACTATTAGCGGAAAAAAACCCAGCATTTTTCTTCAAAATTAATTATATCTTGATTTGTTTCTTGTTTGCTACACAGTTATAATTATTGAATAATGTTTAAATTATATTACCAAAAAGGGTGTTTATTACACCACTAAATGGAATGCGAATCCCGCCATTGCCATTTCTTTTAATGGTCTCTACTTAGTCACCGGGGTTGTCTACAATTTTTAACGAACAGACAATTTTTTCCCCAAAAATTATTTTTATACTTATATAGATTATTTTAAACTGTGTACATTTTAAGAAGTCCATGCATTATTAATTTATTAATTTTCTTCTCAACTTAATGTATTCTGTATTTTATTACTAAGTATGTAATAAATATAATAAAACATACCCTTTTCCACATCACATCCTGTATCAGCCCTCGACCAATATCAGCCCTCGGGCCTTCGGCCCTCTGGCTGATATTGGTGTCTCGGGCTGATACAAAAGACATCAGCAGTATACACACATACAATAATAACATAACGTATTTATACATGTTAGTAGTAATAATGTCGCAAAAACGTTATCTCAAAGCGTAGTGCATTTGTGCAAATAAATACAAAAAAGCTTATAGTCGTATTCACCATGGTATTCATCATGTTAAACCTTAATGATAGACTATCATGCGTCACAATCGCATTCGTTTATAAATTCCACGTAGTTTCCCGAAAATGACGGAGTAAGGTATTGACGGAGTTTGGCGATTAAGGGTCTTTGGCAATACTTGTATGTAAGCAAAAGAAATCTGCATTCAATATTTTCTAAAACAAAAATGTTATTATAAGTATCCAATTCAAACAATTTGCTTTTGAATTATAAAACTAATGTTTTGTTGAGTGAAATATGGTTGATTGAAATAAAAATAGATACATGTATTTGCGAAGCAATTATATTGTTTATGTATACTGCATTAAATTTTCTATGATAACTGTATACTGCATTAAATTTTCTATGATAATTAAGTCGCCCGCGTGGCGCAGTGGTTAGAGCGTCTGCTCTAGAGTCGCGAGGTAAGGAGTCAATCCTTACGTCGCGGGTTCGAATCCCACTGTGGGACGTGGAGACCGGTCCTTCGGATGAGACCTATAAATCGAGGTCCCGTGTCACAGAAGGTGCTGGCACGAAAAAGAACCCTCCCTGCTCAATGGCCCTAAGTGCCGAGTATAGGACAAAATTTGCAGCTCTCCACCAGCAAGTGGTGGCGTCTCCATATGAGTGAAAAATTCTCGAGAGGGACGTTAAATAGTATACAATCAATCAATCAATCAATCAATTTGATAATTACATTTTTTTTCATGTACATTTACATATTATTTATAATACAATTCTGTACAAAATAATGATTTAGGCAAAACACATATGTGTATTAAGTAAGATCTATAAATATAATTGCAATCGCCTAATCAGCTTTAAAACGTTACGATAAATGTAACAAAAGACTTTTAACAGCAGTGTGTTTATGGAGAATGTATATTTTATCCATAATATATCATTTACTATTCATACTTAAATTAGCGGATAAATGCTGATAAAGGGGCACAAAAACAATAAATGATGGCAGTTCACAAGTATACAGTCTTATGTAAAAAAGAATTCGTATAAAGAAAATTGTGGCGATGTAGACAAAACAAATTCATCAATGTTTTTCTTCGTTCTACAGTCGCCCGCGTGGAACACTGGTTGTAGCAGCTGCTCTAGAGTTGCGAAGTAAGAAGTTGATTCTTACGTTGCGGTTTCGAATCCCACTGTGGGACGTGGAGAACAGTCCTTCGGATGATACCGTATAAATCGAGGTACCTTTTCGCAGTAGGTGCTGGCACGAAAAAAATCCCTCACTGCTCAATGGCCCTGATTGCCGAACAAAGGACAAAATTTGCTGCTTTCTACTGGCAGGTGGCGGCGTCTCCATATCAGTGAAAAATTCTCGAGAGGGATGTTAAACAACATACAATCAATCAATCAATCGATCTTCAGTCTACGCATTTTATAAGTTAAACATACCTATTAATTTGATGAACACCACTTAGTATTCGCTTAGATTGGATTTTGCGTTCAATGACCCTATTAAGGTCCAGGATGAAGTCAAGATGGATATTTTCGCATACCTGTATGACCGCTTCCATGTCATTCGCATTTCACAAATTATGTACCCTTTTAGATAGTTCCTGTTTAATTAAGTTTTCTTCAAAAGTTTTCGATTATATTTAAGTCAGGGCCATTCCATTGTGAGATATGTTCTCAAGATCCATAAAGTCCTTCAAAGATATGTCCCAAAGAACAGAGACATTGACATCTTGAAATAGGTTATCGTTTGATGGAAACTGTGCTGCAACAACGGGCCAAAGAACATTGTTAATAATCTCTACATGTATATATGACAATGTTTGAGCATTTATGCTCCTATCTACAACACAAAAAGTGTAAGTAATGCACCCTTTTGATCATAATGCAAACGAAGCCCGGCTGGTGTTGAAATACGAGGCGGAACCCTTATTTTCCTTTCCGGTTTTTCTCCACATATACATGTATATGCGTCAATCGTCATTTTTCCTGGGTAAATGCATCCATAGTTCTCTTTTTGTTTCTTTGCACCATTTCACACGCTTTTTTAATTCACTACGCGCAAGCGCTTTTTTTTTCTTTTCATCCCTCCTTTTGCATTAATCTCGTTTCAAAAAAATCTTTTTATTTTATAACATTTTACAATGTTTTATTCATTTTGTTTTACCAGTTTTATTTTTAATATTCACTAATTCTGTTACATTTGGCTAGAGCTTCATTCTAGCAGTCTACAAAATATTGTCGCTCATCCTGTGCACTACACATTTTTGGCCAACCACTTGTTTTGTTTTCAACATCTTCAGTTTTCCCTGACGCTACAAAAACGTAAGTTTCGTTAATAATGGCCTTCTGGTAACATCCGATATTTTTTTGTAGTTTCAAACTTGCTTTTCTAAGTGATAAAATGGATTGTTTCTTTTCCAGACGTAATTCCTTCCCTTTTCTACCAATTGTTGTTGCAGTCCAAGAGTAACTATTGCAGACGACAAAAACGTCATGTAAAATGACGAGATAAATGCTGTCCCTGTGAAGCTTTAAATAAAGTAAGAGAGATAACTCTACCATTGTTTCTAAAAACGACGGATAATACAAACGCGATACCGAAGTTTAATCCGAGCGATGCTATGTCTTTGCAAATAATTTTGACACGAGACTGTATATATACCTGCACATGTTTTTAGCAGTACGCTATTGTTTTTTCTACAAAACAAATTAGAAAAAAAATCAAAATGGATACAGTCATACTGGTTTTATTTTCGAATATCAGCGGATTTATACACAACATTGGCGTGATACACCTCCGCCACAAAGTCTGCTCATATAATTGCCTCTGCAGAAGTTCGAAATATTTTGGCAAGTACCACCTACCCACCAGCATTTATAATCCGCTCCTGTTAACAATTTCAAAAATGTAATCAAGAAATTAAATACTTTTCTATCAGCTGATTTTATACGCGAGATCTACATATGAAGAAATTCTAAAACAAGGTAAATTATTTAAAGAAAAGCTGCTGAAACCAGAATATCGGCGAATTTCGTTTAAACTCACCATTCTTTAAGTTCTATGATCGATACAATGACCTTGTCATTACTAAAAGTGTCATTTTACCAAAAAAAAAATAATCCTCATAAAATTTACCTGGCTTTTTATATTTTAATAAAGTTTACAATACACTTTAAGTACTAAGCTAACATATTCTGAAATTTGATTATCATCTGTTATCCTTTACTGAATGACGTCGCGCACAGTGTTGGTGTCACAATGTCGAAAATTAATATGGCGGCGGCATTTGCGCTATTTCCATAATTTTAAAACAATTCACTATATGAAAACTATATATCATTCGGTCGTTAATTGTATTCTAAATACATTTTTAAAAAAATATTGATTATAAAATTCCAATTATTAAAGATATGAATTCGACTATTCAATCAATTACGTCAAAAACGCATGTAGACCGGTAACAGGAGCGTCGCACACGCAATAACAAATTGTTAATTGTTTCCATAAAACAAACAAGATACACATAAAATTTAGCAGAAAAGTTCAAAATATGATGTAAATGATGTAAAGTTTTATAATTGTGATGTTGTTCAATTCGAATGTTGTGAACGTGTGGTTCAAAATGCAAGACCGCGATGTAGATAAGCGTTATCCGAAGAAATATGGAAGAAACGTGAAATGTCATCAGTAACTTAAAAAAAAATAATTTCATGTGCAAAATCAATTTTAAAGTGGCATGCCAATGATCCTTTTTGTGTACAAGGAACTGTATTTTAAATTAGACTGATATTTTGTGTCGATATGTATTTTGGGTTTCTGATATTAAGCCGATTTATTGTGGGGACATTGACTCAGATGGTGTGTCACAAAGTTTGGGGGTTCAATGTCGCAAAGTTTTAAAAGATTCGTAAAATGGAAAATTTTGTAATGCTAGGTGTAAAATTGATGTTGAAAATTATTTGAAATTCTACAAAATGTTGCCTTGTTATAAAGGAAAAGATCTCTAGACAGAGTTTTAACTTGCGGTGCCTTAAATTTTAATAATAATTGACGTGTTACATATGTGACGCGCCAAGCAAAAACCTCCCTTAACGAAGAATTTTGACATTTTCAGTTGTTTATTGATTCTTGTAGAGATTTTCTTTCTCTTTCATTTGATGTATAACATGGCATATATTTCTGTAAATAAATGTATAAAAGATCGCATGACAAAGACGGGATATTTACCTTGACGTACAGCGTACGCGTGCGTAACTGCATGGATTTTCATAACGTAAAACCGTAAAATAACGTAAAGCTATACAATAATTTGATGATATTCATATTATTACATATTATTAAACTTTTGATTTGAGTCCCTTAATAGTATCAACAATTAAGATTTTTTCATCGTAATAATAGAAAATAAACATTCTAAAATATTTCTTTGAGAAACGAAAGACGGGGGGGGGGGGATGATCGTCAAGGGAAAAAACCAAAACTCAAGACAAAATCAAATATCTTCCCTTCCTCTGGAAGATCCTCCAATTTATGGCTTTTTAATGCAGTAAAATGGCAGAAATCTACAACACTGCAAAAGTAAAAGAAAATAATCAACATTTGGATAAAAAAAATCCTATTGTGGTAGTATAAACGACACACGTACGGCTTCCTACTACATGTACTAGCTTGGGCTGTGGGTTGACCCTTAAGCTTATTCGGTAAAGCACAGAGGCCATGGGTCCAATCCCAATTAAGCAGAGGCACTTAATTGTCTCTGTTACACTATCAAAGTATTTATCTTTAAAAAAAGTTCGAAACAGCCCTTAGCCCCCCCCCCCCCCCCCCCCCGGGCATTAAAAGTCTATACAATACACAAAATAGATATAGAAAGTACATGATGTATTGTTGTCATAGTTCATGTTTTAAATACCTGAAATTGTAAAGAGTGCAACAGATTTTTTTTTCTATCTAAAAGAAAAATAACATTTCTTTTACCACAAGTTGACTATTTACATGTTTTACTGTAGTTTCGAGTGTTTTGATACTGAAGACTTTTTGGCTTATTGAAAAGGTATTCTGCACACAAGAATAAATTGTATTTGTCTCTTGTAGTAGAGTTTGATCCTTTTCTTCTTTAGGAGTCGTTATGAAATCAGTCTTTAATTCACAAGAAGAACTTGAAAGTTGTCAAACTTGTTTTCAATCCATTTGTATAATTCAATAAATGCGTGTTTAAATCAATTCAATAAAGATTAGGTGCATCAAATTTTAAAGTGTTCAATCATTATTTCTTGGTGATCTTTTAACATTTGATTCATTTTTCCTGGCCTTCCGTTTCGAATCTTTTATTAATGTTTAAATTAATGAAAATACATATATTTGGAATTATTTTCGTAACTAAATGCGTCTGCATACTTTTCAGTGAATCAGAATGTAACACCCATCCCCAACCAATAAAATATATGTATTTTTAAATCTTGTTAGTTAAAAAAAATGTAATTTGTATGTATGAAGTTAATCATGAGTTAATTTTGAATATTGTATATAAGCCGAATAACAAACCACAATACCAGAATATATATATGAATCCCACAAGTGACACGTACACTCCACAACTTCATTTCTAGACAAAGAATATAAGGCAAATACTAAAAGCTTCACTGTTACCTTCCTGAGAAAGTACATGCACAGATATGATTTATTTTAATCATATTAGATGCAAGTTGCATTTTAGTATGGGTAAAAACACGCGTGTTAAAAATAGCAACAGAAAGTAAGAGAACGGGTAAAACATTCTTCATATTCTTCGATCATCGTAAACAGGAAGGGGGGCGTGTCCCAGCTATGGACATTCACGCTTAATTGATTACCTGAATTAATTAAACAAGAACAAGACACACATGTACAATCTTAAGCTGTAATTTTTGTTATTTTTTTAAAAAATAATTAATTGTTGTATTTTATACATTTTTTTTTGATACACGAGAAGCTGTATGAATGGGTAAGTTGATCAAGCACGCAATATTCCAGCCGACCAACATGTATTTTTTATGTTCGATAAATCCTTTATCTTAGAGTATAGAGCGTTTTGATCATTGACTTAAGTAAAATATATATTCAGATATATCAAGCACGCAATATTCCAGCCGACCAACATGTATTTTTTATGTTCGATAAATCCTTTATCTTAGAGTATAGAGCGTTTTGATCATTGACTCAAGTAAAATATATTCAGATATTTATATCCTCCAACTTTCATATATCTGTAACAAATATAGGCATATTACCACGGATTAACATATATTGTGTAGATTTGTACCGTACAAATTTTGCATTAAACTGCCCATACATGTACATTGTTCAATGCAACTTTTACAGGAAAAAATTATTGACACTGTTAAAGTTTGTTGCATGTATACATTTGATAAATTACGTGTAATTGGTAGCAAATTTTCATAATTTGAAACGCATGAATACATATTCATTTTATTGCGATTCAACAGAAGGAAACAAGATTATTTTCCAAGGTAGATGTTAAATCATGAAATGTTGGTACATGTCGTAAAGTCTTTGTCGGGGAAATAATTATTACAGGTTAAATAATCCTTAATGCTAAAGGTTAAAATAAAACCATTAAAATGAAAGTCTTAAATCTCTAAAACGTTTAAGTATACTTTCATACTGCATTGATGTTTTAAGTTAAGAGGGATGAGTGAGCACCGGAGACATTACTACATGTACATGCAACAGCCTGATTCAGCGATTTTATAAATGACCGAAATTCTTGTTGTTTTCAGGAATCCAGAACTCCAGAATCTTCTTTAGTACATGTAGATAAACCATGCACAAAATAATGATAGGTTGGAATGTTTTAAAAGTGTTCAAATAATTTGTATGAATTTGTAACAATTTATATAACATTTTAGCGATGTATCATGTTTGCCATTTTTACATTCGGTGTATTGTGTATAATCTCATCAAACCGAATATGAAAAGGTCGATAAACATATGTTCAATCTGTTTAATTCTCAATCATAAAATATCTTAGACAGTGGGCCTGTAACTTACAATGTATGCGAGCATCCGTATATTCTAGACAAAAATTGAACAAAGTATCCAAAGAAATAGAGCAGACACGCGACACAGGAGAAAGGGGGGGGGGTCTATATTTTTTGTACAACATGAGGTGTTCAACAATAAAATAAATCGAGAAGCTCAAAAAGTAGTCTTTCTTCAAAATATTCATTTTAAATCAACAGCTAAAACTTATTCCGGAAGAAGTGTCCAAATCAAATACTCTGTGTCATATCTATAGAGAATACTTTTTTTAAAAAAAGTAAACTTAACTATTTATCAATTACAGTTCACGTTTTATTTATATAAACGGCAGCGTTAACTGTCCGAACTCAATTTATACCGTATAAATTTGGTAAGTATTTAAAAATTCATTCCATAAATAAAAGAGAAGTAGTTCAGGTCAATCTTCATTGCATCGCTATTTAAAAAGATACCTTAGTTTAATGCTGCTGTTAAATTTTTCTTGCATGTGCATCACGATGAAACAACTGGACATTAAATTAAAAAAGAAAACCTATCTTTAAAAACTTGTTTATTTGACCTTTTAAAATGAACCGACTAAAATCTTTTTAAAACTTTCAAATTATTCATTCCGGAATTTTCTCATCCTATCAACAACTTTTTTTTTGTATCAGAAATTCAACACTGAAATTTTCCGACCAAAAAAAATCGCCCTACCTACCGATGCAATTTTTTAACCCGAATAGGGAGAGGACAAACAAACTTCATTTTAAAAACGGCCTTACGGTAATTTTTCAGCCACCACTTAAAATCTTTGAAAAATACACACTTAATTGTGAAAATGAAAGATCTCACAGTCACTTGACG